CTACTTAACGCCGGTCTGATATTCTGCGGGGCGCTTTGACAAGTCCCATATACAACTGTGTGTTGTACTGAGTGACATGACTGAAAAGGAACGTAAGGTTATGAATATAACCACGGTTCCTTGAAGGAATGGAACGAAGTACAACACCTTGTTGGCCCCGCATCACAAAAGGCTCGGTGAAGGGCGGTATCTAACCGAGTAATGATGCTGGTGACTCTGAACTTATTGGGTGAAGGCGGAGCCTGTCACCCAACGTTCAACGTCACCAGTCACCACGTCACTGGTCTAAAGACGTGATTAGAGGTGGCTTCAGCCAGGCGTGTGAGGGCGCGCATGCCCCATATACAACTGTGTGTTGTACTTCATTCCATTCCTTCAAGGCACCGTGGTTATATTCATAACCTTACGTTACTGTACCTTCCTTTAGTGGAGACATGTTGCAGTAAAGACTGATGTTGTCACATCTTTTTCACTGTATCCTGAAAAAAAATGTCTGACTGTCTTCAGCATTAACTTTGAAACATTTCATTCACCTATAAAGTTCCTGCAATACTAGGGCTGGGTAAAAAAAAAATCGATTTAATTGATCTTGGATCGATTTCATTTAAATTTGGGAAAATAGATTCACAGGGCATGAGATCGATTCTTCCCCATGGCGCCTTGTGCACGTATCTGAAATGCATTTCCATATTTGTCACTCCTGGCTTGCCGTTATGGGGGGGAACAGCGCAGAGCGATGCTGAGCACTGTGTGTGGTCCTCACAAAGATAGAAAGACGTGTGTGTGCGTGTGTGTGTGTGATTAGGGTGCTTTTTTTAATCATGCAGCACAGATGCGACAGCTTTGCAAGCTACTTTTTCTTTCTTTAAAAGAAAATGTGACAGGTGAAGCCATAGCATTGTTACCTTATCAATAATTACTTTTATAGATTACAGCAAGAATCATAAACACAGACCCTGAGTGTGACCAGGTTCCCACAAGTCCATTCATGTTCTATAAACAGTGCTGATCAGCAGCGCAGCTATGAACTAAGGCAGGGGTGCCCAACCTTTTTTGAACAAAGAGCTACTTTTGAAGTCGTCAGTTTGCCGAGAGCTACTCGTCCAGTCTCAGTATCAAAAAAACATCATTTTGTCTCCCTACTCCTCACTTGTTTAAAGTAAATAAAACAGAACATAATGTGTTGCTAGTTTTATTTAATTTAAAGTATTGTCAAACAAAACTATCTACTTAACCATATATTTACCCACAAAAAAGAAAAGATAAAATCCTTACTTAACTCCTGACAGAGAAACATAAAAGTGATGCTCGAACAAAAAGGATCAATTTTTTTACCWCCTTCAATTAGTACTCACTGTAACGTGCGAGCTCTGAGGGCTGAAAACCTGCACACTGAGAGAACCACAGAGTCAAATAACTTTGGAGCATGGGAACTCATCTCCATTTATTCAAAGAACTCTCCTCTCTTCTCTCCGTACAGGAGAGCAAAAATAAAATAAAAATATATTAGGGTCAACATGGCTACCACAAGAGTACTGCCCTTTTTTTTCTCCAAAATCAAAGCACACAATATAAAACTCTCTCGCAGGCAGCTATAAAACCCGGTATTGAGCTTCCAGGATCGGTTTCACCTGACCAAATCTGCTCCTTTTATTGCCTGGAACAGATCCATCAGGTGGTTTTCTGAATTTTATGCATTATTGCAGAAATATCGCCCGCCAGCGGTTCAGGGGGCAGGCTGTTATAAAACCCGGTGCTGAGCTTCCAGGACCGGTTTCACCTGACCAAATCTGTTCCYTTTATTGYCTGGAAGTGATCCATCAGGTGGGTTTCTGAATTTTATGCATTTTTGCAGAAATATCGCCCGCCAGGGGGTTTCTGGCTGAATCCAGGCGGGAGAGCAGGTGCTAGACATAGGACAATGGTTCCACCTCACTGGATCTCTTCCTTTTATTCCCCTGCATCAGCACAAGCAGCCTGTGCTGGAAATCAGCCGTTTCACCTGCCGGAGCTCACCTGACGACTTTTGATCGCTTATTTCTCCATAAGGGAACGTCCCAGGAATTTGCAACCACCTCCAGTTGTAGCGGAGATCCAGAATATTAAAATGAGCCATCTCGCGTCCGGATCCAATGCTCAGAGCCAGCGCTAGAGACTCCAGAGTAAATTGAGTACTATATCGCCCGCCAAAGCCCCTTTTTCGGCCGGTCATTGGTTAATAGCTCTGCGGGGGAATGTCCCAGGAACTTGCAACCACCTCCAGTTTGTAGAGGAGGACCGCAGCTTTCCGAAGTCATCTCACTTTCCTGGATCTGATGCTCAGAGCCCGCGGGAGAAGAAAACGAATGTTGAAATTTCCTCCCCAAAATGCTCGTAAAATGCATTAAGTCGTGTGTAATTTGCTTATATCTCCGCGGAGCAACGACACAGAGACTCCATTCAAGTATCAGCTTTTAGGGCAGAACTAGAGCTTTAAAACAAGACCAGCCACTCCGGGATCCGTTGCTCCTAGCCCGGGGAGGGGGACTAACCCCCAATTTACATTGCTTGCGTTCTGTCTCCGCTCCGCTCCGGTTCGACCTCCACAGCAAATACGCACCCATTATAATCA